TTTTTTTTTTTTTTTGTCTATTTTGCACTGCTTTCTAACAAAAACATTCACTGTTATTTGGGTATGGGGTGAGGAATATTACATAAGCTGTTTGGAGTGTGGTTGTTAACACACTGTTTTGCAAACCTGAGGATATTGGTTTTTATTTTATTTGCATGGCAGTGAACCAACACCAAGGAAGACTCCAGTCGGAAGTCTGACAGCAAATAAATTCCCTGTCCAAATGATCTGTCCTGTAGCAGCAGCTGTCATCCTCATTCCTTTCCACACATTCCATGTGGCATTATAGTCCTTCTCTGTCAGTGCCAGGGTCAGGGGCTTGGCTTCATGGTTCTAGGCTGTATGGAAGGTTTTTAGAGTCTAGCTAGATTTGGATTTGTTGCAGGCACAGAGGTCTAGATGGTGTGTCTGGAGGCATTGCCCCTGACAGAGTTGCTAAGCCCCAGAGAGGGTAATTTTGCATTTGAGGAAAGCACCCAGACCTGAGGCCATGCCAAACAGCTTACCTCACCCTCCGAGCCAGGAGTTGCCAATTTCTCAAATCTTAATCCAGCTGTGTTTCTCCTCTGGGTCTCAACCAGCTTGAGTACATCTTTGTTTTAGTTTTACTGAACTCCTGTGTTTCCACACAATTTGGAGGGACCAGGAATGCCTAGGCTGCCAGCTCTTTCCGCACTTCTGGAGACATGACGTTGGAATATTTACAGTGGAACTGCTTGGGAGAATTTTTGTTTCTGTCCAATTTTATTTTTTTTCCATGCTCTGAATACTGTAACATTTGCTTCATCTTGGTTAGTTTTGTGCATATAAGTGATAGGCTTCCATTTGCCAATCTCTTCCAGCCCACTCACCTAGTCTGTTAAGAGCATCAAGGCAAGGCTGGCAGATGTGCAGGATTAACGGGTCTCTGGTCAGAGGAGTGCCACCTACTGGGTCTGTTCTCCCTCCTTCACTGACCTGGACAACTGTATCAGGAACCACAGGGCCTTCCAGCAGGGCCTATGACATGTTGTCACCTGTGGCCAAGGGTTTGCCGTTGCCTGATATTTCATGTCCCTGATGCCCAAGGGAGCATCATGTAAAAGGCTAGTGCTGCAATCCCTTCGTGTGTGTTTTCCCAGACTACCCACTCTTGCTGCGATGTCTCCATTTTCTTCCAGCCATTTTTCTTGCTGCAATTGGACTGATGAAGCGTTTATGAGACTCTCATCTAGTTGGTATGGTCACTGCCAGTGGCCCTTCAGAATGGAGGAGCCCCTCAGCTTTTCATGTAGGGACTATTGCATGGGAGCTGACAGTAATCTCTCTGCTAGAGTTGGTCACGTGCATGCTGTTGTTTGTTGGGGCAGTAAAATGAAGGCGCTGGATCCCAGCACCATGGTGTGAACTCTAGGTCTAGCAGGAGAAATGGTCTGCAGTAGAAAACTTCAGTCCCATCAAAATGAGAAGAGCAGTTGTTCCCATTAGATCTAAACTCCCCCTAACCCTACCCACCCCACCTGCAGTCATTGCTCTGATGGCCTTTGCTTTCTTTGAGGCACTCTCTGTACATTGTGATATGTGCTGGGGCAGATAGAGCAGGGACAGAAGGCTCACTGTCCGGGAGGGACAGCGTGATACTTAGACTCAAGGGATCCTGGTGATGGCTATTGGGTTGTGTAAGAAGGAGGATAGTGACAGGCCTGAGGAGTGTGTTGGGTTATCTGCACTTTTGTCACCATGGCTGTCAAAAGAGGGAGGAGCTGAAGCTGTCTTCCAGGCTTGCAGAAGTACAGACATCAGAGGAAGAAGAAATCACTCAACAGTGAGGTCATTAGACCTCCTTAGCCTTGGCCAGTGCTGGGCCTGCTTTGAAAATTGAGCTTTCATCACTTATTGTACCCTGAGCTTTTGGCCTTGTAGTAAGGCTAGACTCCTTGCAGTGGCCTCTTCTGACCCTTGGTTGTGGACATATACCCAGCGTGAGCCAATCCCAGATTGTAGGACAGTGGGCAGGCCAGGCTTCCTGGAGCAGACCCTCTTGCTGTCCTGCTTAGACACAAGGGCTGCTCTGCTAGGCCTAAATCTTGTTAAGCCTTAATGGCCAGTACTCTGGGAGGCCAAAGCAGGAGGATCGCAGGTACAAGCCTAGCCTGGGTAAAGATCCTATCAAAGAGGGCGGGGGAAAACAAAAAGAGCTGACAGTGTAGCTCAGTACAAAGGTTCTGGGTTCAATCCCCACTACCTTTAAAAAAAAAAGTCCTTAATGAGCCTTTTGCAAAAGTGGGTATCTGGGGATGTCCAAAGCTCAACTGGCCTTTCGTGCTATCCCTGATTGCTCAGACCCCTTTGCAGTGGCATGTGTCTGGCTGGGATTGCACCAGGAGTCATGTGGCATCTGGCATCAGCCAATGGGGTTCATGCTACAGCTCCTCTGTCCCCCGTGGGACACTTTTAAAAGAGAAAAGAACTTACCTTTTCTGCCTCACATGATATAGGGCCCAGCAGGCAGGTAATAGGTTCAGTTCTTGCTGTGGTATTTTTTGTTTATTTGTTTGTTTGTTTTGCTGGTTTTTTAAAGGAATTCATCTGTGTTTTCACAGGAGTAGCCAAATTGTTGCCAAGGACCTAGCCACCTCTGCCAGTGCTTCTGACACTAGACCCACTAAAGGTGACTGTCATGAACCTGATGTGCCTGCTGGAGAGGACCCCACGTACAGGCTTATCTAACTACCCTGCAGGAAGCGGCCCATAGGGGCAACTGTGGTTGCTAAATAACAGTTTGACACTGTAGTGCTTCTCCCTTCCCCTACAGGCCTGCAGGGATTATTGCCTCCCACAAATCTTTAAAAGCAGTTGCAATCTTGTCCACATTGCAGGTCAGATTTCCCTGGTGGACTTTTGCACAGCCTGAGCAGAATCATCTCCCTGTACCTGTGGCTCTTAGGCTACAGAAGGGGAAGCCAGCAGACCCCAAACCACGTAGCCTTCCAGTGCCTTTCGGAGGGGCCTCTTACTCTTCAGTGTCCATTGTCCACACCAGTGCTCCCTGAGTTCACTCTGCTGCATCAGCCTTGGGGCTTGAGGGTCTTTTGTGGGTCACTGGCCTCACTGGCGTTTGGTGTGAGGTACAGTTTACGTGTGTCCTCTGCCTTTCTGTGGTTGTCTTTTCACTTTCTTGATAGTGGCTTTGAGCATAAAAGTTTTCATAAGGTCCTACTTATTTTGTTTACTGGGCTTTT